GTGTTCCAAGAGCTACTATATATGATTATATTAATAATAAAAACAACATGTTTCGAAAGCCGGGTGGTCAGATGGTTCTTTCAAAAAAAGACGAGGATATTTTAGTTGATGGTTTAATTACATGTGCAGAATGGGGGTTCCCTCTACGAGCATCGGATTTACAGATTCTGGTCCAGTCGTATTTAGATAGATCCGGAAGAAACGAAAAAAATTTTAAACACAACAATATGCCTGGCGTGGATTGGATTAGATCATTTTTGAAACGTAATAAGAACTTAACACAACGATTTGGAGAAAATATTAAACGAGTGAGAGCAGGGGTTTCAAAACCAATMTTAGACAAATATTTTAATAATCTTGAAGATGTTTTGCGTGATATACCCGCTACTAACATATTCAACTACGACGAAACCAATTTTTCAGACGACCCTGGAAAAAAATTGGTTATCGTTAGACGAGGTGTCAAACATCCTGAAATTATARGAGATTCGTCAAAAACAAGTACTTCAGTAATGTTCTGCGCTTCAGCTGATGGTAATATTGTTCCACCTTATACTGTGTACAAAGCTGCACATTTATATCCAACATGGGTAGAGGGAGGTATACCCGGAGCGAGATATAATCGAAATATAAGTGGTTGGTTTGACATGGCAATCTTTGAAGAAGATTGGTTTACATTTTCATTTATTCCTTTTATAAAAAATTTGGTTGGCACAAAAGTTTTGATAGGAGATAACCTTGCTAGCCACTTATCGATAAATGTAATTAAACTATGTCAAATTAATGAAGTTAAATTTGTACTACTACCTCCAAATTCGACACATTTGTGTCAGCCTTTAGATTTGGCTTTTTTCCGTCCCTTAAAATCGGCGTGGCGTAATGTTCTAGATAAGTGGAAAAAGAAAAATAGAGGTGTTCTGCCAAAGTCCGAATTTCCACAAATGCTAAAAAAAGCTCTAGAGTCYGTTCAATCTCCAGAGTCTAATGTCAAAGCTGGATTTAAGGCCGCTGGAATAGTTCCGTTCGATAAACAACGTGTATTGRCACGGGTAAAATCTAAGCCTGAAGATGAAGAACTGGAAGAACTGAATAGAAGTAGATCGTGGACTGACGCTTTTGTGGACATTTTACAAGAAGTTCGTTTAGGGGAAAATACGGTAAAAAAACCAAGGGGGAAAAAAATTGCAGTAGAGCCTGGAAAAAGCATCAATGTTGAAGATTTTAGAGTTGAAGATGTCAACGAAAATAATATTGATGACCCTGAAACCGATAACGACACARAGATAATAGAATTTAATAATGACCAAGARMCCTCAACAAGTCAAGCAGTTCCAAATCACCAGCAAGAAATTCCAGTTGAATTTGAAATTGACAATTKTATATTGGTAAAATATGAAACAAACAAAAGTTATCGACATTATATTGGTCAGATTCTCGATATAGATTACCCAATAATAAACGTYAATTTTTTAAGAAAAAAAAATTCTTTAGCTGGACCTCCAACATTCGTTTTCCCAATAGTTGSCGATAAGAGTCGGATTAAAGTGACGCAAGTTGTCAAAATAGTCAAGGTATTGAGTAGACAAAAACGAGACAGATATATTTTTGATATTGATGCTACTGAAATTGAATGAGTAGGTGGGACCTAGGTACCTACTTAGTGTTGTTTTTTTTATCTACAAAGGTACTTATTTAATTTTATATTGTTTTATATTATTAATATNTTTCAATTATAGATCTATGAATTAAAAATCGATCATTTAATTGATTTAAAAAATGATCTATAAATGGAATAAATAAAGATATTCTGTAATAATCTTCAGGCAAATCAACTTGGACATTGCATCTGTTTTTTTGCTTGTTAGCTGTACGAGGAATAGATATCTCAATGTCTAAGGCATCACATTTAGATTTTACATTATTAAATATAATTTTAAATTCACTTTTATCATTTAATCTTAGCTGTTTAATTATATTTACTACGTTGTCAGCGGTTTGAATAGCTTCAACCAGATCTATATTTTTTGTCTGAAGAAACTTACTTAATGGTAAACTCAAACTCAACACGTGTCCCAGTATATAAGTTGCTAGTATAAATTCTGGTTGTCTTATAGCACACAGCAATTGGTATGCTCCTGATGAAGCATCCTTATCAAGCCAAGTACAAATTTCTGATAAACTATCAACTATTGCATCAAATAACTCGAGGAAAATAATGATTGAGTCATGTCGGTCTACCCATCTTGTTGGACATAACAGTTTCAAACGGTTATGAGTTGATGAAGAACATACACGTCCTATTGATTCAGATAAAACATTATTTTTTTKGGGGTATTTAAAAAAAATACAAACTTTTTGAATAGTTCCAGTGCAATTTCTTATAGACTGAATACTACAAGCATCTGAAATAGCCAAATTGAGACTATGGGAACTACAGTGTATATAATGTGCAAGAGGGTAATGTTTAGTAATATGAGCTTGGACTCCATTGAATTGTCCACTCATGGACGCGGCACCATCATACCCTTGACCACGTAGGTATTTTACATCAATTCCGATTTCTTCCAAAGTTGTCAGAAGAGTAGTCGCTAATCCCTTTCCAGTGACATCACTAASAGGAACAAATTTTAAAAAATCTTCTCTCATTATCATTTTTGTTGTGTCTAAATATCTAGCACATAGGGAAAATTGTTCAATACCAGCAATGTCTGTAGTATCATCGGCTAAAACTGTAAAACATCTAGCACTATTTACTCTGTTTACAATTTGTTTCAAAATTATATCTAAACATACATCTATTATTTCATTTTGTACATCTGCACTAAGATATGATGCATTTCGAGGAGCATTCTGTAAATGGTCTGTTAGCTCTTTATCACCCGCCTCAACTCTAAACCGTAACAAAGCTCGAAAGTTGCCATCATTAGTGTTGTGTTTTAGATCTATTGGTCCCGAATCTCTATGGCCTCTTAAGGCTATTCCTTGACGACCACACAGAATAATAGTTTTAATAATTGGTTGTATTTTCTTACGATTTTGTTGGATTTCCATTTTTAAACTATTATTTATCTGCACATCAATAGAATCTATATTTTTGTTATATACAGATAACAAATTGTCAGCATTCAAAACTGACATTTTATGGTAATTTGTATTTTCATGTTTATTGAACTCTTCAATAGCTTTTTTCCAATTAGAAAATTGTTCTAAAACAAGTTTGCCTAATTTTTGATTACCGCGACCACCTTCGTTTCTTTTAAAAAGAACACAAAATTTACAAAATGCACCATCATGCAATTTTGAATAAGTTAACCAAGACCATTTTTTTAACCAGCTAAGTTGAAATTTTAATTTTCTATCTCCACTTATAGGAAACTTAAAAGTATGATCTGGTTCCCAAATTTTTAAAAGAAGTTCTGCTCTTTTATTTGAGTCAATCTACAACAAATTGAAATATTAATTTGAACTCAATTAATTACTTAAAACAAAAGTTGTAAAAATAAAGCAAATCAAATAAACTAAATATAACTAAAATAAAATCAAATCTAAAGCTTAAATGCAATTATCTAGCTACATTGTAAATATTATTATTTATTTATACCAAAAGCAGTCTACAACTAATTGCAGAAACCTTTTTTAACATATAAATTATTTCATGCATAATATAAGTTTAAAGTTATAAAATTATATTTACCACAGTACTTACTATTATATATTGGTGTAAATTTATATTTTATTTATTGTATATATTCTATATTATTATAATTATTACCTATTGGCCTATTAATACACAAACAACTAACATAGGTCACAGACACAAAAAAACCAATAATACAATATACAAATAGATAATAGTTATATTTATAGTTAAAACAATCATAATAACATAAAGTAAAAACCAACAGGTGTTTTGTTCCACACAGAATCTAAAATCTAAACATAAATACATATATTATACATATATAAATTATAAACATAAAATAATTTAGAACCACATCAAAACATATTTAAATAATTTTTCATACAAACCTTTTCTAACTGCTGAATCAGTAATCCAATATCCATAGAATCAGTAATATCAGTGTCATGGCTGTTTTCAGAATTTCTGAAGTTCAGGATATTCTTACTCTGTTGAAAAAAAAAAACATTAATTGTTAGTCCCATATGGCCATATAGTATCAATGG